CTTGCAGGGAAGTGTACCGGTATTTGAGGTGCAGTTGCAGACTTGGGTGGAGTCAGGGTAATTTTCTGCCAGCTTGTGATAAACCTTTATCAATATTGCTGTGAAGTCCACAGCTTTCACGTCTCGCTACACGTGAAGGCCCAGATTGCCTTGGTTTAGTTGTCCTGTGTTCTTTTTTGCAATTAAATTATCAGTGACGTTCCATTTCTAGATGAAGCTCCTGATTCTCGCCGTGTTCGCCCTGTTCCACGTGGCCCACGGTGAGGAAGGCGCCAGGCTCCTGGCCTCCAAATCTCTACTAAACAGATATGCAGTGGAGGGCAAGGACTTGACTTTGCAGTACAACATCTACAACGTTGGCTCCAGGTAAGCCTCGTCCAGGCTGCTTCTTCGCGAGCGTTACGCGCGTGCGGCTGCAGGGTATGAGGCCCTTTCTAGCCTCCGTTGATGTGCTGTTACCTTTGGTCCCCCTAATTCCGAGCTTAGCGGCGGCACATGAAGGTTTGACCCTTTTCCTTCCCGTTCCATCGTCCCTGCTTTCCCCTCGTGGCTGCTCTAGCTGTTGGTCCAGCGTGGTGTAGCGTTGTGTCTGGTGATGCTCTGCTCCCCGCGCACGCAGCCTCCCCTTCTTGGCTTTGTGAGCAATTTTTCAGCTCTGCTTTCCCGTCTTTTTTTCTTTTTGCTGTTTCTCTCAGCTTTGCCTTCGTCTTTCCGCGGTCTCCCTGTAACACACCTTGACTCTCCTCCCCGTCTTCCATTGGTGACCTTTTATAATTCAAAAATCAGTTCTTCCAGCTGCCGAATCGTCCCGTTGGAACTGTCATCCCTCGCTGGTGCAGCCCCCCGTGAGCACAATGCCAAGTCTAAAGATTCTCTTCTCATCCCTTTCTCTGTCGCCTTTAGTGCTGCTTTAGACGTGGAGCTCTCGGATGATTCTTTCCCCCCCGAAGATTTCGGCATTGTCTCTGGGATGCTCAACGTCAAGTGGGACAGGATCGCTCCGTATCTTTTCGTGTTGTGAAATTTCTCCCAACGCTCCGTACCCGCTCTCCCGTCACCGAATTTCCACCGTGCCTGGGCAGGGGTTTGAACGCAAACCTCAGTTCTGCGTGATGGTGCTGTGTCAAAAAAAGTTCCCGGCAAACAGGGCCAGGTCCCTGTGCAATTCA